ATTTACTTTCATTTGTGATTAATATTCAGTGAACATATAATTTTTTCATGTACTTTTTTTTAATGTAATGCATAGTACTTATCACTAAAATGTTATACACCATTATTATATAAGCACATTTTTTATGTAACCGGTACATATATAATTGCTATTTTTTTGTTATATAGTTCCAATTAATTACATTATTTATAAATGTACATTTGTCAATTGTTTTAGCTTTAGTCACAGAGGTGCATGTTTTCTGCTATAAAGTGAAAGGTAAGTGATGTGCTACAATCCCGTAATAGCAATCAATACTTGAATAGATGGAATGATCCCTTATTGTATTACAATATTTTGGAATTAGGTTTCATTGAAATCAAAACATTTTTGTTATGTTTGACTACTAATCATCAATATTAGTAGCGATAATATTGTCACGTACAATTTAAAAAAGACGTTTTTACATTAATTGAAGATTTACAAGCAAAATATTGTTACTTTTTTGTGTCCAGCACATATTGCCTTGCCATTCATAGAACAAATAATACATCGATGCCATTAAATGCATCACAGTCTTCAAAATTCAGAATCTGTTTGTCATAAATACAAAAATTATATTAACATTTTTCACGTCTTTAATCGAATGGCTAAAGTTATGTATGCAACAGCGGCATTTATTGTAAAGTACCTTACTATGTACGTAAAACTATTATAATTATCGAAATATCTTTTGCTTATACGAATTCTTTGCAAAAAAAGAGAAATAAGTTTACAATAATATCATGTTATCATAGAGGTAGAAACATATTCTCTAGCGATAAAAACGTAATATTTGTCTAGATCAGTACCCAGTAAAAATCTTGTATTGACAATTACATTAAGAATATTCTTTTTTGTGCGGGAATCATAGCTGGTTCGAACCTTCTGCCTTTTTCGTCGATGACGGAACGCCCGCTGCTATCGGGGGATTTCTGACAGAGTTAGAACTGGGGTTACTTTTAAGGACTGCAGCTGATTTCTTTTGTTCTTGTTCGGATTCTTTTTCCGAGTGTGCATCATAACACTTTTTTGTGTCTTCAACATCTTCCTCTAATTCTTCTTTACCATAGCATTTTTCCGTCGTCACCGGTGTAGCAGGAACTGATGATTTAGGTGATACATATTTTGTTTCTGTACAATTTCCATCTTTCAGATTTTCACATGCTTCCTTTTGTGATTTTTCTTCCAAAATTACTTCCTTATTAATTAAGTCAAGCAACTCATCTACTTGTTTCTTGCTTAGTTTTATGTCTTCTTTACCAATTAATTCCAACACCTGTAGATGAACAAATCGCATGAATTAATTAAATACATACTTATATTGTTTACAGTGTCAGAGATTTTATATTGTAAATTACCTTTAAGACATCTTCGATTTTTATAGATCCATCTCTGTCGTTGTCGATTTTCGCCAGAATTTCAGCTATGCGTTGCAATCGATGTTGATCAGGTACATTTTGAATTTTTTTAATGGCTGATATTAATTCTTCTATCTTAACTAATTCTGCCGCAGTTTCCGAGCTTGCAGTTTCTTTAACGCTATCCGTCTTTTGCGACTCTTTCATTTGCTTCTCGCATTCAAGTTGCGCCAAGACAGCATCCATTTTGTTTATCATTTTGTTTACTTTGTTAAACAATCGCGTAGCACCTTTGGATACTTTAATATTCTCTATATCTTTTTGACCTTTAGCAGCAGCTTTAATTTCATCGAGCTCTTTAAGATCTTCCTGATACTCGGCCATTTCTTCTTTGAGTTCTTTCAATTCTTCTTTCTCAACAGACATTTTCTTATCCTTTACAAAAGTAGATACATATTTTACCTTCAAACATAACAACAAAAACTACTAACCTACTACATTAAAGAATATGTGATTTCGACAAACCTTTCCAAGACTATCCAATGCCTGCTCTAACACTTTTACATCTGAATTCGTAATTTCATCATATTTCTGACCTTGGGAGGAAAGAGAGATTTGCGGCTCTTTCTCCTGTCGTTCTTCCTCGATTTTCCTCTCCTCCATTTTAATAATTTCGATATTCGTCTTGTGGTCCATTTTACCCTCTTTCTCCCCTATCGCACCTTGAGTACGTGCAACGACAGTGTCGGGAAGGGCAGAGATGGTAGCTTTCAATTTGTCGGACATGGGTACTGTCTCTGGAATCATGAGCGCTCGCGAAAGGAGCAACAATGTGGGTGGAACTTTCTTGTTTAAACTTAAGTCTAGCCACAGAGATAATTGTTCCTTTAATTTACTATCCGGTAATCCATATGCTCGCATTCCGCGAGCTCTACAGGCTTGTTGTAATTCACTTCTAGTAAGTGAATCTATACCTTCCTTTTCAATTAGCTGTAGAGGTGAAAAATGATTTGTTATTGTATATGTATTTGCATATTTTCCAAACATGCTACCACATATTTATAGAAATTACTTGATCATCTGCTGTGAGACTCCTAAGTCTCATTCTAAGTAAAAATCGTAAAAAGTTAGACGTTCCAAGTGTTTGTACATCCAGTACCCTACATAGTGCGACTAACTGTGGTCGAGTAAGAGAGTCTAATGTGATTTCATCTTCGAAAAGTTTGCTAAACTGCATGATTTCTTCGTTGGTGGCTGAGGCACCAGAAGATCGAACTTTATAAAAAAATTCCGCAAATTCTTTGGCTTTCTTTGATTTACAGTCAGATGACTGTACTGCCATGTCGTCCAATGTCTTTTGCAGAAATTTTGCCATCTCAATTTTAACCTGAAATACAAAATTTGCATCTTTAAACATTCTATTAGGAAACTAACTGTCAAGCAAATTTATAATGAAACTTATATACCTTCAATGCTTGTTTTAGCTTGTCCTCTTTGTCTGTTGCTGTCTGGAAGGTAGATGGTAGCATACCAGGGAAAAACTTGATAAAAATTGGGAGCAGAAATTCCATGAAGGGTACAATGATAAAAACAGAAAAGGGAATAAGTCTGAACATATCTCCAGTTGTTTTGATAAGCTGTAAATGAGATATCGATTTAGGCATTATTAAAATAACAAAATTATAAATGCTTATTGTATTTTACTTTTAACTTACAAGTCTATGTTCTCTCCTACTAAGTTCTTTGCCTTTTAATATTCTCCATAACAATTTTGCTGAAATTTTCATGTCAAGACCTAATAGTCTGAATCCATGATAATAATGTAAAACTTCTGCTTTGACCCTCTGCCACATCGATGGCTTCTTTTCTATTACTGCTTTCTCTGTACTCTGTGTAACAGATGCCTGTCCTTTAGCTTTAAGCTCTTTTTGTTCCTTAATATTTTTTACAGTGTCTTCCACTTTGGATGATGATTCTTGACCATTCCATGATGGTGTTACGTAAAATGTACGGAACTGTATGTAAGGTGGTAAATTATTGTTTTTGTAGGTCTCTGTTATTCTAGAGTGCAATAATAGCCTATCATTTCTAGGATCATTTTGTCCCATATAGATAAATGCCAAGCTACCATTTTTTTGATTGGTATTGTACCAAAATTTCAAGCAGCAATACTCTGCAATAAATAACATAATAATCAGGCTTTTTTCATTCAAATGAAGTAATTCCTGTTAAAATAATTCACTGATGAATCATAAAAAAATCAGTAAAAAATGATTAGTTAAAAACTAAAATACATTAGAAGGACATAATTAATATTAATTTCATGAAAACTATGGTACTGATACAAAAACCATGAATAGTAACAATGTTATACTTATTTCACAACATAACCTACAGAATTAACAATACAGGTTATTAGTAAAATGACAATGCAAAGTGGAAAATTTATATTAATTTGTCACAGGTATTAATAACTCTATCTGTAAATTTAATGGTTATATAAATGCATAACACGTACAATATCTGTAATGTATCTATTGAAAATGTTATCATTTTTATTTCGATATATTATTAAATATAATTAACCATACATACGGCGAAGTGCAGTCCTATGACTGAACATCATTGTTTTTGTGTGAATTAAAGAATTCATCGTATATTACAATATCTTTTGTAGTTTTCGTAATCTTCCGGAACCGTTTTTATCTGCAATGTGGTAAAATACTTCACCATCACACATTTTCCGACTTGAACATAGCGATGAGAGAACAAAGTTCAACTGGATGTTAGGTACTAATTATTTGACTTTGACTACTAGTTTCGTATACAAACCTCTTTTTATTTTCTGTTTTCGTAACGACTATGTATATTAATTAATAGCATTAAAAGTGTGAAACAACACCAACAATAATCAATTTATTCGTTCAATATACATAAGATATTGTTTACTTTACATTCTTGGAGTTAATAAGCATTTAGGAAAAGGTATAGTTATATTTGATTAAGTTTTAAAATTGTAATAATGTTTTGAGATCACAGTTAATTGAAAAGAATAAATAACACGACTGCCAAGATGACCATAGCAGCGCGCGTAATGGATCATCGTTGATTATTCGCATGATAATTTCAGAACACACCGGCAAATCTTTTGCAAGAACTGACCGAGTGCCAGCAACATGGAAGGGGAAGGGCAGTGTAACTTTTAGTAGCCGCCATGTTTTTCTCTGAGTGGGGTGTGTAGAAGAGGCCGGGGTGAAAATCATCTCTCGAGGCATGCAGGTATGTCAAAAATTTCAACATTTTCATTAATCGCGGCCAAAGCCGATCACTCTGTTTGTCACTGGTCGATGGCATATCGCGTGGCCAGCACAGGTTCGTCGCTGTTTCATAACGTCACGTAGTCGTTCGTTTCGTTCTTCGGGTCAGAAAAGTATGACTCAGGCGAAACGCATAGCGCAATCAGCAAGGTTATTCGCATCACAGCAATATGCCTTTGCCAACTACTCGCTTAGACAGCTGACCAGCAGTTCGAATTCGGATCTTGTTTCTGAGCACTGTAAGAGACAACATCCATCCGAAGTGGACGAGGCTGGTTCAATAAAGCGTGGAAAATCAAATCAAATTTTTCATATGCTCTCATACTTTCCCTGTGACCGCGTAATCGAGAGATAAATGTTTTTCGACGACGTCGATAACGGTTTCAATCCGTTCTTCTGTGATTTATTTTGCATTATGATTTAGTTTATTCGGTTCTTTAGTCGCGACGTGGAAGATGTACTTTAGCTCCACGGTTCGTGCAACGTGACTTAATAGCCTCTAACACGAACGTATTTTCTAAACTGCGTCTTACGTTTCTAACTGCAATTTGGGTGAAGTTCCCGATATTTGAAAGTAATAAATGTTAGGCATGACTTTTGAAAAGTTTAGATAGAAACAATCGTTTAATTTTTCACTTTGGCAAAGAAAATTTTTTATAAATTTGCTCCATCCCTCTTTTATATCTTTATACAAACATAATCTTAATTTAGGTTTAAGATAAGCCTTCTTGAAATTACATTTTGAAGTTGCTACAATACTATACATTGTGTTTACATAAGTTAGAAATAAATGACAGTTGACACAAGTAACTTGATACATATTTTATCTGAAATTAACATTACTCATCATTTGATTTCTATTACCAAGATCCAATGCCTATGATTCATTTTCTTATATATTTTGTAATGCACTATGTGTATATTCTACTGAATAGTAATATTTATTATCACAAATAATTATAATGAATAACACAAATGATGTTAAACGTTTTTGTTGCTTTGTTTCAATGAACAATGCTTTGTTTTTGTATTTCCTAGATGGCTTCAAGTCGATGATGTGTTAGTAC